GCTAAAACAAAATTATTCAGACCTGTTGAGTGTTGATATCTACTCCAGAAAGCCAGCAACCAAATCCAGGATGCGAGTGGTACCATCCAACAACCATCTCTGGCCTGTAAAATGAAGAAAAAATATTTAACGCAGCTGATTCACAGAAAGAATGAATAGCATACAGTGTCAAAAAAAAATTAATTAAATAAAATTGAATACAGTAGCACAGAACATAAACTGAAAAAACACCACTTTCCCAATTATATCAATGCTGTAATGTAATAAAGATATATATATCAAACAAATAACCCACCGAATAAAAGGAAAACAGGAACCCCAAAGGTAAGGCCCATAAGGTTAATATCATGAGTTGAATTATTATCAAGTGATTTATGGGGTATAGTTTTAGTGGTAACCCTGAGATTTGATGATTTAATTCAACCATCAAATTCCATTTGTGCTCTTGAACCACCAACGATGAGAGAACACTGGTGAGAAAAGAACTGTGGTGGTGCAAGATAAAGGCAACTGCTATGGAATAATGATGGTGGTGGGAGAATAATGAGGGAGGCAAGAGAATCAGTGAGAGAAGATGGTGCCACAAGAATGTTTGGAATTAACCTACAGAGAGAATGTCTTTTCCTTTTTTTTGGTGGTGGTGGTGGGGGGGTTATTGCCCAAATGTGTAAAAAAGTATGAGCCCAAAAAATTAACCTCATTCCAGGTGTTTCATTTAGGTCAATAACAATTACCTAAGCGAGCCCTACTCCAAGCATACCCATAAAAGGTATGGTATGAACACTCCGATCTAGATGATAGGGAAAAACTAACACAATATAATAGCAAAACGTAATGGTGTGCATTGTGATTCAATAATATATGAAGTATCAATTCATTCCAAAGCACTAGAACACTATAAGGTGGTATCAATTCTTTAACCTTGGTCAAAGTGAAGGAGAAGACATTTCTTTAATCTTGGTCAAAGTGAAGGAGAAGACATTTCACCAGGAATGCAATAGCTAAAGGATTGCTTCAAGTTTTTTTTTTTTGGGGGGGCGATTAGTCACCAATTAGATAATTGAAACAATGAACCAGAAAATGTTTTTTAAAAAAAAAAAAGAAAAGAAAAGAAAAAAAGAAAAAAAAAAAAGAGCCAGGGGGTAATAGCAGGTAATTAACTCTTAAACTAACCCATGTCTTGCTAAAAAAAATAGAAGAATAGCCAAGTTTGACTTGTAAGAGAGATAAATAGTTAAAAATCACAAGAAGCACAGCCAGACGCCACTACTATCTCTCTTCACCTTTTCCCTTTACTTCATGACAAAATACTTTGAAATGCTTCAAAAAAATGAGAACACCATAATGAAATCTAGAAAGACGGAACACAATTTATGATTTCTCAAAGCACAAACAAATATAATACATGAATAAAAGTAATATATATATAACGAGTAGGTTACAACAATCACAATTAAAACCTATCATACATGATTTTTGCTTAAACAGTAAAGGCGAATTGACCACACGAGAATAGATAAATCTAGCATAAATAGAAACAAAAACTTTGAGCACCTCAAATTCACATTTTACAGGATGAACAACATATTAAAATATCCATGATACAGCAGGTAAAGCAGAACAATCCACAAAATTTAGAAATATTTTAGACAAGCAGAAAGTTAACAAAAAGAACGGCTAATCTATCAGCAGATTAATCGACAGAGAATATGATCCAAATTTTGTCAAAATATGAGGCTGGGACAATAGTACTTGCTACAAGGACTTCTAATTAACACACCATACAAAGGTTTGAATTCTTTGACAATCATGCTGAGCTAAAACCTTCTGAAAACATTCCAAGTAGCTTGAACATGATTCGACAATAATCCAAGATCAAAGAACTAGGCGTAAAAAGATATTGAGGCAATGCATACCAATCATACTATACTCTTTCTAGCTTAAAATTCTTAGCGAAATGCCAAAATCATATTCCATGAACCTAATAGAACACCTACTTGAGAAAATGAAAATGAACAACATTCTGCCTTTCAACCTTCAGTTTTGCATTCTCAATCATCTTCAAGAAGGGGTCTTCATAATTTTTTCCCACCTCAAAACTCAAAACCATAGAAAGACCACAGAGATTGCATAAAATCCAAATTTATAGAATTCACGTCCTTGTTGACATAAAAATGCGAGCCACACTCCTACAGCTTGTTTTATGTACCTTAAACGTCTTCATCACAAATAAATTCTAAGTTTATATCAATTTCAATATATACAAGTTTGAATTGATTCGAAACAAGTCTACTAATTTCAAAACCCCAATTCTTTCAATAAGACTACTGTTGATAGAATTAAAAAGCTGATCCACTAAATCTAAATTACATTTACAAAAAATCTAGCACAATACAAGACAAAACCTAAAAAATCAAAACAAAAAATGAAAAGAATACCTTCCAGTTTGCTTAAGCATATCAAGCATGTTAGTCTGGAAAACATGGTCAACAGCTTCAACACTAACACCAGTACCACTCTGCGGCATAGCGAAAACATCAACAACCCTAACAGTATACTCATCCACAAATTCACCCAACATCAATCCCATAACTTCCATAGGAACACCAGCTCTACCTACAAATCCAATTCAAAATTTAAAATCCAATTCACAAAATCCCAAATAAAAATTAGGGTTTATGAAATCACCATGTTTGAGCATCTTAAGGAGAGCAAGGGAGGAGATGTAGACTTGTTCGGAGGTGTCAAGGGTTGGAGAATCGGGAGGTGGGTGGCCGAGTGCTCCTCCGGCGCCGGCAAACATTCTGGTGAGTCTGTCCATCGTATCTTCTCTCTTTCTCTCTGGTTTACTGGAAATCAGGAGGTGGATGTGTTTCGATTTGTTTTTTAGAGAGGAGAAGTGAGAGATCGGAATCGTGTTTTCTTTTTTGTGCACGAAACTGAATACAGATGGTAATTAGGATGGCAACGGGTCGGATTTGAAGCGGATTATGCTAAATTCGACTCTGACCCGATAGGAAGTCGGAGGTTAAATCCGAAATCCGACTCCGACTCCGACTTTTATATCCGACCTCCGACTCCGATTTTTTTTTTCATTATTCAATATACTTTGAGATATTGGGCTATTTGGGCCTTTACAACCCACACCCAATGCCACCATGATCCACACAAAAAAATCACTATCTATTGGAGTCGGAGTCGGATAATCCGTTAAAGTCGGACATTTTTCGGAGTACGATTTTTTTCTCGGATTTTTTGTAGGATCCGACTCCGACCCTCCTCCTCCGACTCGGAGTCGGATTATTTTAACGGAGTCGAACTCGAATTACTTTTTTCTCGGACTCGGAGCGGATATTTTACCTCGGATCGGGGCGGAGTAGGGTCGGATCCGGACTAGATTGTCATCCCTAATGGTAATAGTGTCACTTCACTTAAATGGATACATACAGTAGAGATGTAAAAGGGAAGTGAGAGGTTCGGTCTAGTAGAGCCTTCTCTAGGGATGTCACTGAGGCGGGTCTTGGTTTGGCGGGTGGAGGGGCGAAGATTGGGATAAAAGTCATATCCACCATAGGTGATGGCGGGTGGATTTTAAGTTGTACCCGCTCTGTTTCGGGGTTTTCTGATGTCCTGCGGGAGAGTTACAATTCTGAGACAGGAACCGGACGCCTGTACCTGCAAAACAAACGGATGCTCCGGACGATTGGAGATCCGCCTCCGACGGTCAAGTTAGTACTTGATTAAGGAGTAATTAATGCGGAAATAAAAGTAATTGGGTCTCTCTAGGTGAGAGTGTTAAATGTGCGTAATCTCCCTTAATGAGGATTAACGGGCATATTTATATGCCTTGGGATGCGTGCCAATACTAGGTTTAGGTTAAACCTAAGGTTGACTGGGCCTCCCACAATGATTGGGCCTTGTTGGCCGGTTTTCCCATTTGGCATGGGTGGACACGTGTCACATTGCAATTGGTCCAAGGAGGACGAATCTCTTGGTGACACGTGGCAGGCTCCTATTGGCCTACATGAAGGACACGTGGCGAAACCTGGCTCGCCCACGTGTCGGATGCTGATTGGTGGATAAAAATCCCCTAATCATTTGCCCCTCACAGGTGGCACGTGACTGGTCACGTGTTACCTGTGACAGGTGTCGCACCGTGACAGGCGACGGCCTGCTACAGGTGTCACTCGGTGAAAGGCCGAGAGATTCTCCCGCCCAAATTTTGAATTTTGGAAGTGACCCTTTGCCTTCTCACTTTGCCTATATAAGGGTGTGTTGACTTCAGTCATTTTCACACTTGAGAACTTTTTAGAGAGAACATTCGGACCCCTGAACTTGCTCTGACATTCCGGACTCTTTCTGCCTACCGCCTGCTCTGACAAGCCGGCTACTCAGGATTTTCAGGTAACCGTCGGTTCTCTTACTCTTAATTTTCTCTTTATTTTATTCTTTTTTGAAATGGCACCACGGAAGCACACGACACGACCTAGGTTAGTGATCAGCCGGTCACCGGGGATGGTTGAATCTAGGACTAGGAGTG